GGGGGGAGGCTCCAAAATACCCGGACAGGTGCCCTTGCACAGACTCGCGTGCACACGTGTCCTCACGCACATGCACGCGTGTCTCTCATGGCTGCAGAAAGACAAAAGGCCCCTCCAGCGTACGGGGTGATGCCTGAGCTCTCCTCAGTGCCTTGACCTGCCGGCACGTGGAAACCCCCCAGCTACAACCATGCCTGCACCCAGCCCAGGGGTGACACACATCCAGCCAATGCCATCACATGGGGCTGTACCCCCTCGACTCACCCACACACTCCCAAGGATCCCAGCCCAGCCTCCAGCATGGGGTGGGGGGCCAGGCTCTGTGCCTGCACCCCCCTGCCCAGCCACAGGGACGGGAGCATGGCTGCATGGCAGGCGGTGGGGCCAGGACCCCCTGCACTGGCCGTGCACTGGGCTTGCTGTCCCTGGTGCCACTCCAGCGCCCCGGGGAGGGGCTGCAGCGATGATGGCGGGCCAGTGCGGGAGTGATGGGGGCACTATGCAGCCAGGACAAGGGTGAAGGAGCCCCCAGACCCCATCTGCCTCCAGCTCTGGTGCCTGCTCCCCCTTCCTGTAGCCATCAGCCGAAGTAGGGGTTGTCATGCTGGAAGTTGTAGTCAGGGCAGACCTTCTGGACCAGCTTGTAGTCGATGCTGAGGAAGGAGATGAAGATGCAAATGACCTTGAAGGGCTTGGCGCAGAGCCAGGCGGCATGGCTCTGCGTGTGCTCGGTGAAGCACACCTTGGAGGGATCGTACAGGCAGGGCTTATTCTTCCGTGCCCGGTTGGTCTTCTCATACTCCACGTGGCAGTTGAGGGCCTTGGCCGGGTGCCCCTCGGGCAGGGTGCTCTGCTGGGGGGGCAGGCGGGGAAGTGGTGGGGGGGGCCGCGCCCGCACCTCAAAACCGACCGCCTTGGAGGGAGGCACGATGCTGACCGAGACGTTGCCTAGGCTGGAGGAGTTGTGGCGGAAGTAGACACTGAAGGTCCCGTTGATGTGGTCGACGATCTTCCCTGTCACCAACAGGCTGAACTTCAGCGTCTTGATGTTGAAGTAGAAGTCGCCCCAGCCAAAGATCTTCTTGGTGCGGCCAGACTTGAGTGAGGGCTTGCGCCGGGCATGGGGGCTTGGCAGCTCCCCAGCTGTCTGGTTCTTCTGCCAGTCCCAGGGGCTCCGTGCGGCACCCGAGGGTGTCCTTGCGCCCTGGGGGGGCTCAGCTGGAATGAGCCGCCCAGGGTCAAGCACTGGGGGCTTCAGGGTACCGTAGGGGACATCCTTGAGGAGGCCGGAGGTGCCCAGCTCCAAGTAGCCCAGGGTCTTGGTGATGTGGCCCCCAGCACACACCGTCTGGGAAAGAGGGCAGAGACTGCAAAAGCTGTGCCTGTGGCTCCCTGGCTCATCCTCCCGCCTGCTACCCCTCACTCATCCTGCTGCCTGTCCCCATGCACCCTTCTGTGTCTGTGTACCCTCCTGCACCCCTGCATCCCTTCTGTGGCCACGCGCCCCTCTGGCACCACATGTCCCTTCTGCACCGTGCCCCCATCCACTGTTCCTGCAGCCATGCCCAGAGCTGAGCATGGCTGCACCCTGCCCATGCCACCCCTAACCCCTTCTCAGCCCCACACAGGTCTGTCCAAGACACACCCCAGGAGTTAGGGCTGCTTCTCCAGCATCACCCATGTCCCTGTGATGGGAAGAAGTAGGACAATTGACAACTGCCTGCCCCACCATAGTTGAGGCCTATTAAAATGCAGGGGGGTGAGGGGCAGCAGCACGTACAGAGAGGGGGAGGCATCGGAGCCCCACACCGCCTGCCAGGGAAGCCTAATTGCATTACCCAGTGCCTCTGATCTGCAGCTGAAATTACAGAGACCCCCGCCAGGCTGCACGGCAGCCGCTCCACCCTCCAGGATAATTGCACGGGGTGGACACAGCTAAATGGTGGGGTGCATTGTGTGCAGAAGGGGGCCCACACGGAACTAGCAGGGACCCCTTGCTTTTCTGGCAGGGGGAAGGGGCTGGGGTCACCTTGTATTCTGACAAGGGAGGGAATTTGCAGAAAAAGCAGGGAAGATGGGCAGTGGAAGGGGAGGAAAACACCAGACAGCTGCAAGGTCCCTGCACTGGTACAAGGACATCCCCTTGTCCAACATAGAGCCAGGAACCCTCAGCAAGGGCTCTCACCGGGTGGGAAGGGGCAGCTTCTCTCCTGATGGGGTAAATCAAGGCAGGGAGCCATGATGGAGACCAGCTGCCTGGTCTCTCAAACCTGGGCAAGCTGTGAGCCCAGTTAAGGAGGCGCTGATGGGCACTGGCACACCAGGACCCTCTGGAGATGCAGCCAGTGCTGGGGTGTCATGCTGCAGCCCCGTACCACACTGGCCAAGAAAGGTCCCAGGCACTGAGTGGGCTGGGACCTGCCTCCTGCTTCCTGCCAGGCATCAGCTGGGACAGGACTGCAGCGCTGCCTTCCTGAGGTTCCCCATGGCCATCGCTTCTGCCTGTCTGGCTGCTGGGACAGACATTGCAAGGCTCAGCAGCGGTGAGCAGAGCCAGCTGGCACCTCTTCAGCCCTGGGACCCCATCTCCGGCATGTCCCATTTCCCTCCCTTGCCTGAGCCTGCCTGCCCCCCCGCTTCCTCATCCTTCAACCTGGCTGCTCCTGGCTCTGCACCCTGGTGCCCGGCATGCCCTGCCTGCCCTGCCAGCTGCTCCTGGCGCACAGGATGATGCTCCATCAGCCCTGGCCTCGTCAATCACTGTCGTCTGCAAGCTGGCAGGTGCTCAGGCTGCTCTGGCAGTTTTTGCTCTAGACGACCTGTTTCCCAAGGGGGATGCGGGAAGGAGGGGAGCGGGGAAGGAGGGCTGAGAGTAGAGATGCCAGCTGGAAGGGCCTGGGGGGAGCGGGAGGCAGGGCTGTGCCTCCATAGGAAACTGAGGTGTGCCTCAGCGCTGAATGTGAGCCAGTGGGGCTGCAGGCAGGGCAGAAGGCCCTAGGGATGGCTCTTGCCTGCCATTGCTGGGGTCTTATCCT